GCTTGCCATCTGTCTGGGCTAATTAGAGCTGCTCCTCTCCCTCAAGCCCTGCCTTGGCTGGTCTCCTCACACACAACACCCCAAGCCACAGAGATACAGAGGACCATACCAACATACCCTCACCAACCTGACTTCTGCTTTCCTGTTCTGGTGAGTGAATCAACAAGCAAACACCACATACTGCCCTAGTGGGAGCCAACAAGCAAGCAAAATTCAGGGAGGCTGTAGGAGCTGCCTGAACATCATTCTAGCAAGTTACAGGAAGGAAAAGAGAAAAGGGTTTTAATGGTGTGACACAGCTCTTAGTCAGCAGGAGTCATGCTGTTAAAAAAGGTCTTCTGGGCATCCCATTGGAAATGAAGCCACCCTAGGACTAGCACTGAGAGGCCATGGTCTCCTTGCTGGTGAGCGTGGGAGTTCTGTGCACGGATGATGGACAGCACTTATTCCTATCCTTTTCCACTTGCATCTTGGAAATTACCATCCAGTTTCTCCATCATTTCCCTGCCTGAGGTTCTGTTCTTTCCAGGGGATGGTTTGCTCCCAGCATCCATAACTCAATTAGGTTTTGTCTGCTAGAGTCAGAGAAGCAAGAAGATTGTGCAGAGAGAGACTGAGAGAGAGGACTGGTCACCCCCGAGCATCTCCTCTGTAGGACTGTCTTGGTCGGCCATCCTTGGTGTCAGTTGCTACATCACATCAAGCACCATGATGATTTGGGCTGCGGGTCAGTGTGCTTGGAGGAGAGGAAGCAGAGGTGTGAGAGGGGTTGGGGGGAGAAGAGCTGTTTCCCTGCACCTGTAGATTCCCCCATCAAGGAAGGGAGAAGTGGTTAAGCACTGCACAAAGACTGAGCTGAAACATCTGGTGGCAGGGCTGCAAAGGACTGTCAAGTAGCTCCTCTGACTTCCCAGATCCTCTTCCCCAATGCTTTTGACTCATGAGGACTTGCTGCTGCTTCTCCCTCATATTCCTTCCAAATGTGCAGCTCCCACTCAGCCTGGAGACCGTGTGGCTACTGATGGCGACTTTGTCCATGCTATGAGCTTGCACTTTCACAATGTGACTGCTCAGAGGGGTGGCCTGAGGGCATGGTCTGGATGCACCTGGAGCTAAGAAGAGCTGGTGGGGCTTGGATATACTTGGACCAAGCGTGGGGCAAGCAGCAGTACACGATCTGCCCAAGTGGTGAACAGTCAGTGGTGTGAGAAAGGTGCGCGGACAAAGACTTTAACTCTCGACACGATGCATGTCACCAATGAAATCTTCATGAATGGCACGTTAACATGCACTCGGTGCTAGCATGGGGCGACACAACTTCACTGGTGAAGAAAGCAGGAGGGGAGGAGGAGGGGAGTGCATCACTGAGCAACATACCCGCAAGCTGCGGGGCTGCAAGCAAACAGAAATAAACACAGCTGCCAAGATAGATAAAGGTGCCGGCTGGAGCATCCCACGTTGCCCTTCCCAGCCATTCAGAGACAGGCATCTGCTTCGATCTCTGTCTGACCAGACACACGCTCCAAGCAACATGCTACAGTCATGCATGGAGTTCATGTGGCTCGGGGTGGCTGCGTTTCCCCTGTCCAGCTCCTTTCAGAAGGACTCGCCTTCACCCCCTCCTCTCGGCCATCTGAAAAGGGTTAGAAATCTGCTAGCAAGTATGGGGCCATATATTAAATCTAAGTCTTTGTTCCTCTGCTTGGACATTACCAGACATCTCATGTAACTCTTGTAATATTTACAAACCAGTAGAAGAAATACAATTATTTTTTTTTTTCCATTTTGTTCATTTCTTTTTATAACACTAAATGTTAAATCTCCATCAATCAAACACAATTACACTTACAAGCTCAAGGAACTGGTGTCCCATTCAAAACCCCCATCTCCCCCAGTCCCTAACCAGCTGAGAGGCAGCAGGAAGCAAGAGCCAGCTTTCAGGGAGGGTATGGGGAAGATAGATAGCAACATGAACGCAGAATAGAGGTGAGGAGGAAAAAACAGCTTCAGAGAAAAGGGCCTGAGACATGAGAAGAACCTTCGCAACATCTCCGTCAAAGAAAGAGAATAGGGAAAAGCGTTTGACCTTGCCTGTGTTTCCTATGTTCATCTGGGCTCCCCTCTAGATAGATGCTTTGAGCCATCCCTGCTTGTGTTCAGGAGGATCAGGGGGATGCTCACAGCATCCCATGATGCTTGATTAGCTTCTCGGAGTGAATCAAGCTCCATCCTATCCATTATTCCCCCAGCCCTGTTACAGGAACAGACCTCCAGGAGCAGGGCTCCCAGCACTGCTGCATTGGTGGATGTTCTCAGACAGGTCTGCAAGTAACCGGCTTCAACCCTGTTTCGCAGTGATGTGGCCAGGTCCTGCAGGCAAGATCAAATCCCACCACTGGGGTCGTGGCTGTTTACTCTAGCTAATACGCAGATGGCTTCAACAAAACGGGTGTCCTGTTTTCAGCAATACATTTCCCTTTAACCGTAAGCATCTTTGATGTCTAAAACAATATCCCCCCACAATTTCTTCAGGACAGAAAAGAGGTGAGACAATGAGGTGCCAGGACCTATGACCACTGACACCCCAAAGGGCTCTGATGTGTATGAACCCACTGCCTAGGAGGGACGTCACAGTGACAAAACCACATGCAGAGGACGACATTCAGGACAGACCCTATAATAGCAACCAGGCTGACATCAAAGAGAAGCCCAAACCTAATGAAAATGGTGGAAGCCAGCATCAGCTCACAGCTGTACCAGGGGGATAAGAGGCCCTGTTGCAGCTGCTAAGACACTGAATACCATGTCCCTCTTGAGAAACAGGCACGAGGACTGGAGCCTGAAGGATACAGGGCAATTGTTTCCTGGTCTGCAGCAGGCCAGTCTCCAAAGGAGATGCACAAGTGCCACCAATGACAGCCCTATCTCACAAGGGGGGAGCTGTCCCTGGATACGTTGGTTTTCATATCTCAAGCACCAGCTGTCTAGCTCTCCCCTCTTGCACCAAGGCACAAACACCCCCAGGTATGGCTTTGGGGCCTGGAGGCGCAGTGGGGATACAATTTACCACCATCAACCCACAGCAGATCTGCATCACCCAAACTTCAGTGTCTTGCGTCAGTCTTTAACACTTCCTCGCCCATTCTGGCTGCCTGTGAGCAACTCTTGACTGCCTGCTTAATTGTGCGCCTGCTGCAGCCCAAAGCAGCTGAGCTCAGCAGAAAAGAGGCAGTGCTGCAGTGCAAGGTGTAGGGACAGGCTCACAGGCAGTAATTCCTGTTTCCTTCCTGGTAGGAAGGAAAATACCCAGTGGACATCCCCTCCCGCAAACCCAGAGCCTTCAGGAGCATGGGAGAACCAAGTTTGATGGTGCTTGGAAGCTCAGTAGTGCCAAGCACCTGTAAAACACTAGTGGGATGGTCACTGGGTTTGTACGAGCTAACTCAAGTTCCTCCCTGCGCATCCTTCCCCCCTAAAACCAATTGGCTGCCTGATAAACCCCATGTTTTATTGTCTTTGCTGCTGTGGATGCTGGGGCACATGGCTGGCCAGGAAACACAGGAGTCTTGCACATATGCATTGGAGTGTATGGGTGCTGGCTTCTCCTCTCCCACTGCTTGCTCTGGCTCCTGCAGCCAGGAGCCACCACCCAGCATCTTAACCCTGTTTCTCACAGCCTGTTCTCTCCCTCTCCTTCTCCTCGCTGAGAAGCCACTGGAGCATCTCATTCTGCTATGGGAAGGGTGATGGCAAGAGATAGACCTCCCAGCAAGACCGGCACCCTTCAGAGGAGAAAGACCAGGGGGAATTGTGCTGCCTACTTTGCTGCATCACTTTAACCTCTTCCTTTATAAGCCCAGGATCTGGGACCTGACATTTGTTTTTCTTCTTACATTCATGGGTCCTGGACATTTTCTGATCCCATTTGTTTCAGACGTGAAATCTGCGAAGGGAGCAGTGGTGTACAATGCACACACACCCACACTCACCCTTACACAGCATATATTCCTTTTTATAACAGGAGGACAGTAAGAACAACAACAAAAGAAAGGCTATCGGCTCTATTTCTGCACGACTACCAACATGGTTAGGAACTACCAGATTCTGGTTTTCAAGCTGAGGCATCATTCCTATGCACACACTACACCTAAGGAATGGCTGCTCCAAGGTCTCATCACTCCCATCCCACCAACCTAGCCTCCCCTTCCCAGGAGGGTTGGGTGGCTGTATCCTCTACTCTGTTGTGCTGTAGGCCAGTCCTGGTTTCTTCTGCTTATGTGGACAAATGCACAAGTGTGCCTATCCCAAGCGTGTGTGCAAGCACTCGTGTGTAGTTGCTATGCTTGTACTTGAAGGCTGAGAGTCAGGCAGGTTGCAGGTGGTAGAGAAAACAAGGCTAAGCAAGGGTGCAAATGTACTCTTGCAAGCAAGGTGGCCGGTAGTCAAAAAGCCAGTGAGGATGCTGGAGAGGGCACAACAAGGGAACCTGCACTGGAGCTGCCCCTCTCTCCTCACCCTTCTTCTCTGCCCTTCTCTCAGCATCTTGTCTCACACTCACGAGGCAGGACATTATCTACAGCAGGATGAGCATATGTACACGTGGACTGTTCCTTTTGCATGCTTGGAGAGAGCAAGAGAAAGAGAGAAAGAGGGAAAAGAGGGAGCGAGAGGCACATGTACACGCATGCACGCACGCACACAGGCAGGCATACAAGGGAGAAAGAGAAAGACACTTGGTTGAATTGAGGCAGGGGGAGAGGAAGAGGATTAAAATAAAAGGAAAAGTATGTTTTCAGTGGAGTTGACACAGCTTTAGTTCAGGCCAGCGAGCTCGATGGTGCATGAAGGAGGGGACAGGAAAGAAGGTGTTTAGCAAGGGCTGGATGCACAGGAGCGCAGGGTGAAGTGAGGAGAGGAAGGGTTTTTCACAGGACACCAGTGTGCAGAGAGCTTCAGGAGATTTGCTCTGGTTTGTGGCTTTTTTTTGTAACATCTTCTTATTTTTCTTTCTTTTCAAAAGTATGAACTGGCCGAGCATCAGCTCACAAAAATGACCCAGGGCATCCAAAAAGTGAAGTGGCTATAGACAGCGAAGCATAGCTCTCTTTCCGCAAAAGAAAGAAAGAGGAAGGAAGGAAGGTAAGGGAGTATGCAAAAGAGGGAGGAGGAGAGAAAAGAAAAGGGATCTTCTGTTAGACTGGTTTTGTGGGTGTCATTGGATTGTTTTACATTGCAGCATCCTCCGGCGGCACGATCCTTGCTGGCGCTCTGCTCTCTGCCTTGCGCTGTGTTGTCTCCTAGATGGTTGGTGACTTGACAGCCGGCTTGTCAGGTTTCGGGTTAAATGTTGCTGAGTCTTCTTTGCTATGATTTTTCCTCTCCCCCCCTCTTCGCTCCTGAACACACAAAAGTTGTGAAAGAAACAGTCCTCTCTCTCCCCCCCACCCCTTTTTCTCTCTCCCCTCTTCGCTCTGTCTCCTGTTTTGTTTTGTGTGTTGTTGTTGTTGTCGTGTTGTTGTTGTTGTTTTGTTTTTTTTAATTATTATTATTATTATTTTTAATACTGATTTGTATTAACATTTGCTGAGTAGGCAGAGCAGGGACGCTGCCAGCAGCCACAGTGGGACGGCCAGACTCATGGAGCCGTTGTCTACTCTCCCTGTGCCGGGTCCTGCATGGTGCGAGAAGGGAGAGAAAAGAAGACAAGATTACATGTGGGGCTGGGTGAGATGGGGCAACACAGGACCATGGCACTTTGCTCCTGTGGCTGGGAATGGGCTGTAGGACACAGCTGCCTTCCTTTTAGGTGAGGCTCCATCCAGCCCACCTGCAGGCTCTTGCAGCCAGTTCCTCAGCATCCTCAGTCTCCCTAAGCAGCACCCAGGTGGGAGAAACAGGGCCTGGAGCAAGCAGGAAGGCTCAGCACTGGCTGTTCACCATCTAGGAGCCACTGCCCTGCGAGTGCAGGGACATGGCTCACACCTTCACATATCACATCCCCAGCCACCAGCCCCGCACCTCCCTGCTCCGCCACCTTCTCATCGGGATGCCAGGGCTCGTTGTCATTCTGTGCGGTGGCCAGTGCCTGTCTGCAGCCAGACACGGGCTCTGCTGGGGCCGATTCATCACAGCGCGCCCATCAATAAAACACGGGCCTGAGCAGCGGCCACCAACTCTCCCAAGGGCTGCACCGTAATTATCTGCTTCTCCATCGGGGTGGAGGAAGGCTTTGCTCTTGTGTGCGTGGCCCCTCATACGTGGTGAGGGTGCAGGGTGTGCGAAGGTGGGCGGTTTTTCCTAAGGACAGGAATCACGTACACTGGGGTCTGTCAGAGGGGGCTGGGAGGAGCGCTCTGCCGCAGCAACAAATAACACAGCCTCGCTCCAGGAATATTAAGTGCTAACACTCCTGACATCTTCTCATTCATCCTCCCATTTATGGGCTCCCTTTTCCAGGTGGCTTTAAAGGCAGCGATGCTGTTTGAAATTCACCCTGTGATACCAAGCCTCGGCAGCCTTCTCTTTATAACGGGGCTGGGAGGTGTACGTGGCCATGGTTTTGTAAATACGTGCTCATTGTGTGCATGCGTATACATAGGTGTATGCACATATGTACATTTATATGTATTTGCATGGGTACAGACGCATGTACATATGTGTTTGTATACGTATGTGTATATGCTTATATACATGTGCGTGCACATGTATGCATAAACATACATCTATATGTGTATATATATGTGTATGTATATGTATATACATATATATATGTATACATGTGCAGTGTTTTACACAAAAGGAGTGCAGGAAGATGCTGAAGGGTGGAGATGGAGATATTTGGACTGATCCAGCTGTGGAAGAGAGCAGGCATGTTTACACCAAGAAAAGCTACTCCTAATGGCAGGGGGAGCCAAAAAGAAGAGGCCCTGCTCTGGAGGGCCCCTTGGGATGGAAATGCAGTTTCTTCCTCTCAGAACCTGCAGAGTTTACCAGGCAAAGAGCCACTCTCTGCTGGGTGCAGCGTGGATGCTTTGTGCCTTGCCCAGCAGCACAGTCACTATTAAACTCTAGCTGGTGACTAAAAAGCAGCAAATCCAAGCAGGGTGTCCCCAGAGCCCCTGAAAATCTGTAGCACTTTCATTTGTGTGATTTCTTCCTAATGTAGCCCATCACTTACTAGATCAGCTGTTTGTGCCCCCATTCTATTCTGCCATTATTAAGTATGTGCTGAACTCCGTGGAAAATTTATATTCCATCTATGGCTTCCTTTCTCAGCCCCTGCTTGTCTTCTGTGGCCTGTCACATGCATCCTACAGCACTGTTTTCTCACTCCTTGTTTGGGTGACAGGAACTTATTTACCCCTCTGAGCTCAGGAACCAGTTTAGGTTCAGTTACTACAGTTACCTGACCTGTGCTTCAGAGGAAGCATCTTTCATGGTCAAGTAATTGGGGGGAGGCTGTTTGGGGTCATCTGCATCCCATATTGGCAGTGAAGTCCCAAAATATGACTCCTCTGTCCCAGAAAATAATATGGGCTCAGCAACCACATTTTTACTGTTTGGCTGAAATACTATTTGTCTATCACACACATGTATGTAACATACATATATGGCAACCATCCCACCCCTTGCCACTTTTCTTGGGTGCACATGCAATCATAGCAAAGACACATGTACCTATGGAGGCAGGTGATGCACACCTAGCACAGCAGAGGGAGGGGGTGTTTGGCCTTGGTTGGGCATAGCGTGGGGGTCTGTGTTCTTGGTAATGGACAGAGGTATGGTGTGGGATGGGATGGGATGAGATGGGATGGTAAATAGATGAGCATCTGCAATACCTAAGTATAAGAGGGCATGGTGTGATGAAGGGCCTGGAGCCCACTGTGGTTCAAAGCTGGTGCAGCCCTGCACATAACCCTGGGGGGCTGCATGTAATCCCTGCTTCTTACAGTAGAACAAGCTAACATATGTGCCATGTGAGCTACGGTTACTGTCACGCATGCTCTAAAAACGTGGGAAGGTTATAGTTCAATCACAATATAAAATCCTGCATACTTTGAGAATTAATTCTCAAGTGGTTTGGGGGGAAACATGATTGCTCAAACCTAAAAAGAAAAAAAAAGAGTGAAAACGTTCGAAGAAAATGAAATATTCAACAAACGGCTGGAGCACCTCTCCTAAGAAGCCAGGCTGAAAGAGCCTGGAGAAGAGAAGGCTCTGGAGATACCTTAGAGCAGCTCCAGTCCCTAAAGGGGGCTGAAGAGGGCCTTTTCACAAGGGCATGCAGGGACAGGACAAGAGGGAATGGCTTTAAACTGACAGAGGGGGGACCGAGATGAGATAGTGGGAATAAATGCTTCCCTGTGAGGATGCTGAGGCGCTGGCACAGGATGCCCAGAGAAGCTGTGGCTGCCCCATCCCTGTCAGTGTTAAAGGACGGGGCTTGGACCAACCTGGCCTAGTGTGAGGCATCCCTGACTGTGGCAGGGGGTTGGAACTGGATGAGCTTCAAGGTCCTTTCCAGCCCAAACCACCCTGCGATTCTGTGACCCGTGAGTGCGATCTCACGCAGCAACTGCCATCACTTTTGAACTCTTATCGCTTTCAGCCTCCTTTCCCGGCCCCACCTCGGCACTGCCACGCTGCGACAGCCCACGCCGGCGTGACGGCTTCTGCGCGCGTTCACGTGTGCGTGCAGACCCGGGGCACGCACGGCTGTCACTGCCCAACGCGCCGCGGGGGCGCGCACGCACCCGCGCACCCGCAAACGCGGAGCCGGCGTCCCCACCGGTCCAGCCCCGCCGTTCCCACTGCGCGGCGCCGCGGTCTGCACCGCCCCCTGGCGGCCGCAGGCAGCGCTCACCCCCGGGAGACCCCCCCCCCCCCCCCCCGGTGCCCCCCAGCACCGGGGGCACCTCCGCGATGGTCTCCGTCCAAGAGGAGACCTCTTCAGCGGCCGCCTGCTTCCATAACCCAGAGCCCGTGCCCTGGGAATGGGCTCTGCACGCTGGTGTCCCCGGCTAACCTGCCCCCCGCAAAGTGCGTGAGCACACGGTACCTTTGAAGGGTGCTTCTTGCACTGCAGCCAGGGAAGGAAGTTTGGTTTATGATAGTAATGAGTTAATAGGGGTATCTGGCAGCTTTTCACTATAGGGCCCTAGACCACACAAGTCGCATCACATGAATCAAATCGAGGAGCAAGCTGAAAGTGGGCGAGGGGAAAAACAACTGCATTTCTCTTCCTCACACCAAAGAGAGACACATTTAAATGTCTGGTGTGGATGCAGGTGGAGCTCTGCCATGGTGCCCAGCTGTGCTGCAACAGCCTCACAGGACACTGCGCCCATGTTTCCGAGGGTTTATCAGTGCCACGCATCCAACCCGGGTGAACTGAGCTGGTTCCTGGCACCCTTCACGGAGACTGAGAGAGCTGCGTCTCTCTCAGGGCTGAAGGGGCCATGTGCAGGGTAAACCCTTCCTTCCATGCAGCATGAAGCCGAGGAGCTGCTGCATGGGCTCACGTGGAGCGTGATGCTGTGAGAGCTTCACCAGCCTCATGTGCTACTGCCAAGGCTGCCTGACCTTTCCTGTTCTAAGTCCCTGTGGCACTTCACAGCATCAACAGGGCAGGTGGAACGGTCCCATTCTGGGTGTTTGCCTCGGGCCGGTTTGATGTGTTTGGCAGTAAAAGAGGTGCAGTTAAAACACTTCTGCTGTGTCAGAGCAAGGCTTGAGGAGGGGGAAAATGTTTGTTTCCATTGTAAACTAAAACGCAAGCAAGTGACTGTCCCTCAGAACACTTTTGCTGATGCTTTGGCTCAGCGCCCTGCAGCGGTGCAGAGATTTGGTCTTTCAGAAGAGGAAATGGCTACACAGAGCTATCTGCCTTCCACACCCTTTGGGGAGGCAGTCCCAGCAGACTTCACAAGTCTTGAATGACTTCCCTGGGACCACCTCTGGGTTAGGACTTGGGCCCCTCACAGGTTTTAGGCCCCTCCATACAACTGGCACAGCACTGCTGGACTTGTTTCACTACAGGGGACATAGAGTCATAGAATGGTTTGGGTTGGAAGGGACCTTAAAGCTCATCCAGGTCCAACCCCCAGCCACAGGCAGGGACACCTTCCACTGAACCAGGCTGCTCCAAGCTTGGTTTAACCCTGCTATACTCTCCTTCTCCGCAGCCTCCTCTGCAGCCAGGCTAAGGGAACTGCTCAGTGTGGGAACTTTTAAGGTCACTTCCAACCCAAACCAGTCTGTGATTCTACATAAGTATTCAGGCTGGACAGGTAATGGGAGCAGGTCCTGGGAGAAGGGGAGATTAAACCCTGATCAGGCATAGGGAAGCAGGGATGGTGGGAGAGAGGCAGGTACAGAGGAATGATGGTGTTTATGGGAAAAGGGAGTTAGGAATTGCCAGGAATGGAAAGGCAAGGAGTCAGTCCCAGCCCATGCCATACCTGAGAGTGAAGTGGGGCTTCTGACAGAGCTGGTTCAGCACGATGTGGTGCCAGATGAGCCTCAAATGCCAACAGACAACAGAGGGCAGGAGCGCGGTGTGAAGGGTGCTGCGAGCTCTGCAGCACGCAGGCGAGCCACACTCACCCCCGAGTGCCCTGTGCAAAGCTCCCTGCCCGGCACCCCTCGGTGCTGCGGGGCAGGGCAGCGATG